AAAAATACCTTTGAGGAAATGTACTTTCAGATGCCAAGTAAACTGCATCATAGCACGAGTCCCCGCGTGGGAAGGAGGTTCTTAAAGAGACAGAGTTCAATTCCAAGGTGTTTAGAAGAGGAAGTGATGAGAAGACAAGTTCATTTTCTATTTAAACATAAAACAGCATTTTAATAACAACTAAAGGTGACATAGATACTTTATTATGGTATAGTATTTAAATATATGCCTGAGAAACACATAATATTGGCCCTTTAAGTTTTTGAGTAATTTTGTCCACAGACAAACAGACATACGCGACCTAAAACATTACCTCCTCCCCTGGCGGAGGTAATATCAAACTGGTATTTAAGGCAGCCTTTTGTTGACTCTCATTCTTCCTGCCTTTTTTAATTCTCACGCTCCTGCTACTCATTTTACTCCCTTCTATATTTTTTTCTTTAGAATAATTCAAGGTGTATGAAAGAAGAAGAAAAAAAACATACTYCCCTGAAAATGGTGAATGGATGCAGAGAGTGGCAGGGAGGGAGTAATAAAGGGCTAACGGCTGGCACTTCTGAGAGGGGTTGTTCAATGAGTGTGAAAGTTGTGGAAATTTGATGACCTTTCACGCCTCGGCTCCACACAGACAGAGAAATGAGTGAAGCAGACGGAGAAAAAGCCTCACCTTCTGTGAGGTAAAGGCCCATTGTCTATGGCTTCCACAGTCAAAGCGTAGTTTCGTCCAACAGTCAGCTGAACTCCTGGGGCCACCGTAATAAGCCCGGTGCTGTGAAAACAGTAAATTAAACATACATGATAATCAAGCACACACTGAGCTTTTGCTTCACATTTAAATTTTATCTCATAGCTTCTTTTATTATGCAGACCACCAGTTGGCTTTTTATCACTTGCCGCCAAAGGCAAAAGGTGATCATTTTTGCCCATGTCTGTATAGGTGTACATGCCGTATTTATTTGTGTATAATACAATCTCATGTATGATACGACGCCCCCTTTTTTGAGCTTAAAAAGCATAAAAAATTTAATCCTCAAACTACCTCCAATTTCATACACTTCAAGATTTCTCAGCCTTTGCAGTCATTAAATTCATGATCATTGGACTGTTCATTTTATTTTAACAACATATGTACTAAAAAGTATTTTGACAACAAATATATATCAGCTGTAGCAGCATCATATGAATTCTGGCATTTTACACATAGTCCACCAGGAGGCGCCAACACAAAAGTCAGAGACTTCACATGAGATTTGGGCCATCTTCTTGGGGAAAAGCAGATTACTTCCTACTCGCGAGCCTCTGGTGGGGAAACGTTTTTCAGGGATACAAACTTTTCAGAACACCGGTAGACGGCAGCCATTACAGACGAACATGTGATTGTTGTTGTTCGAGGAGCGGCCCGGTCACACGCTAATGTCATTAGTTTGTTATCATTACTAAGGTGCAGGACTGCTTTCTCCCTTTTTTTCACATCATGTCGCCTGCCTGGATCTGTTACTATCTCGCTCTGAAGCACGGAGGAGTGTCAGAGGTGAGCTCGTTTCAACTGCTTTTTATGACGGTCTCATTTCTGGACTCATGCATTTTGTGAATGAAGCCGATATTTCAGTTAAAATACATAAGTAAAAATATTTATCCGAGTATAGTTCTACCCCCCAACTTTATGGATGATTTTATGGATTTAATTTTACGTATTATACTTGAATAAATATGGTACTGTGTAGCTCTAATGCAAAGTCTCATATTAACACTACATGTATAGGTTTCATTCCACAGTCTACAAACATATTCGATTAACTATTGATTCTAAATTGACCTTAGATTTTCTTTTATGAGTCGTTTGTCTTGTGCTCTTCAAAGCTGAATTTGTTTGAGGGGTTCTTCTTTCCTTCTTTTAGCGCAAAAGCTCTAAATTCACACTCAAAAGAAGCTATTCTTTCCAACAGCTGCCACTGCCCCTGAACCTCCTGAAATGTCTCTTTTAAATCAAGAGTTTAGTTTCATTACTTAACACCATGCAAATACAGCACTTGGTGATTTGCTAATCTTGGTGGGTAATTTGGCAGACTGCAATTAAAAATTCAATAGCTGCCTGGCATGCTGCTATTTTATTATCAGTTTTTAAACCAATCAGAGGACACCCTGCCTTTTCAGAGGGCTTCAGATGAAAGTGACAAATATGCTAATGTTGACTAATTGCCTACAAAAACATTGTTTTATGCATTTCAAATAATATAATTTTGGGCAATGTGTGTACGTAATGAAAAATGAAAACCATTGATGTGCTTTTGTGACAGGATTCCCAAGAATTAAAAAAAAGCTGAAACAAAACGTCTCCATCTTTATTTACCTGCTTCCTATCAGGAACTGTCCGTGGTCACCAGCCAGGATGCGATAGGTCACACGACCGTTTTCACCTGAATCCATGTCCACTGCTGTCAGCTGAACACCCACAGTCACACACACATCATGCATAAAGTTTACATTTTCACGTTTTATTTTTATATTGTGTGATTTTGACAGTGTGTACCTGTAACACAGCTTCTCCAGGCACCATGTCAGTGAACAAGTTGATGCTATAGGAGACATTAGAAAAGGTTGGAGTGTTGTCATTAGCATCTAAAACGGTTATGGTCACGGTCACAGGAGCGCTCTCCTGGACGCCATCTGATGCTGTCAGCTGGAAGCAAAAAGACAAGAAAGAAAAAAGGAAATATGCGTAAAAAGACAAAAAACTCTTCTTGTGGTAGTAAAAGCAGATTTCTTGATTATCATCAAAATGTATTGTTGACATTTTTAGTTCTCTGTAATAAAACTGCTCCATGTATTTTTTTCTTCACTTTATTTTTTGTGTGCTTGTTTTGTTTCTGTGTTCTGTAGATTTTAATAAGAATCTCCAGAACCTCCTGTTGCCTGAAATATTTCACCTATTTAAATAAGACAAACAATTGTCCTCTTCAACTCTCACTGGATTTGAAATATGTGCAAAATGTTTATGAAAAGAAAAACTAAATTCATTGAAAAAGTGCACCAGCCTGCTCTACCATGAAAAATAAATACTTTTATACATTAATATGTGAGTCTGATTCTGTTTTTCTCACCAACAAAAAAGCCTCTCCTTTTAACTAGATCTTTGTTTTTGCAATTTTCTCGCTGCCAATCAAAATCATCTATAATTTTAATCTAATAAAAAATAAAATAAAATCCACGACGCCTTTAGAAATTTCCTGAAAGACTGCAAATTGTTCACACCAGTAATCATCCAGACAAAAACCCGAGCACTCAGAAATAATCAGAGTGTCAGAGAAAACTGATAAATGCTTGTTTTGGTGCCATTCATGCTGCTGATTTGAAATATGGGTTCAGTAAAATATAGTACATCAAACACATAAAATATTTTTTTTCCACTTTTTGCCTTCATCGGTCCCACTGGTTTTAGGGAAACAAAAAGTAGATTTTTACTCTATTTTAGAAATCCAGGAAAATATCAACAGAAAAGAAGTTTCTTTTCTGATACCAATCATCTTCACCATCTCATCTGCCAAGAAGCTGATTGAGTCCTTTCAAATGAAAACCACCCTCCATGTCTCATAGCACTCGCTCTCTCCGAGTTTAATTTCTCCTCCAAGGCTTTCATAATGATTACTGTATACCTCTGCCTTTCAATCAATACGCCAGACCTTCTGCTTTTCCATCTTCAACTTCCAAATTGCTGAATGCACATTCAAGGACACATCAAGTCACATATTACGCTGCGCGCACTCACACACAACTACACACTGCCGCTGTTGTCAGGCTGAACTTGACAGTTAAACTGCAGTAAGAAGCAACAACGCTCTACATCACATGATGAAACATGGGTATTGAGATGCTGTGCTCAGAAAAGAGTAGTCACTCTCTGTGCCATGCCAATACGAAGCTGATGAATTAGGTTGCACTGAAATACAATTGGGGTGAGGGGGAAGGGGTGGAAAGAAAGGGAAAAGGAAAAACTAAAGTGCAAGAAAAGGGCGATGGCATGGAATAAATTAGGGAGAAGTGGGAAAAATGGTTGAAGTCCACATCATATCAGCATCTTTTGAGAGTCAGAGGTATTTTTTTCTTTTTTTCTTTTTTACTACAAGGCAGGCTTTCCTTCAGCTTTATACAATGAAAGTGATTAGCATTCATTGTTTGGTGCTGTAAAATGCAGCCTGAAAAGCTGGCTTGATTGGTTCCATGCAATTATGTCTTAGGGGAAGTTAATAAATCAGTACAAATGTTGGGTTACAGACACAGGGTATGTGTAGTGTTGCGCACATAAGCGTTCAAGTGAGTGCATTTATGAGTGAGGTAAACGTTTTCTGTGAACTTTTCTGTGAAGACCTTGAACTGAGCATGGCTCTAACCTGACACTGAACTTGAGAGACTTTAGGGCAACGTGTTGCTACTTCATGCAAATAAAGGTGATATTTCCTTTTGATGGCAGGCTGTTGTCTCAATAATCACATCACATCTGTATATTGATATCTTTGTGAGGACCCATTACTGATAAATTGTATGCCAAATATGTCTCTCTTCAAACATCATTATAAAAACTGAAGACCAATATTTTCAGCCTCAAAAGTGAAAGCTTATACCAACATGGGTGCTCCCACTCGGTTCCACAGTGAAATGGAGAGAAGCAAACATGTAAAATTTGCTAACAGAGATAACATCCAGCTACTTTATGAAGATTTAATTATTACACTAACAGAATGTATGATGTCATCTACCAACACTAAATGCTTCTAAAAGGTTGTTAATTGAGTTGTTAATTTAAGTTGTTAGGCAGCACTGTGAGGATCWTGTTCTTTGATTTCTCCAGTGCTTTTAACACAATTCAGCCTGAGTTGCTTTGTCTGAAACTCCAGAAGACTCCGGTGGAGGCCTCAACGATCACCTGGATCAAAGACTACCTGACAAACAGACCACAGTTTGTGACACTGAAGGACTGTGTGTCTAACCACGTGGTCGGCAGCACAGGAGCACCACAGGGAACTGTACTCTCACCATTCCTGTTCACACTGTACACTGCAGACTTCCAGCACAAGTCAGACTGCTGTCATCTACAGAAATACTCAGATGACTCTGCAGTTGTTGGGTGTATCAGAGATGGACAGGAAGCTGAGTACAGAGAGATGGTGGACCGCTTTGTGGCATTGTGTGGGAACAACCATCTCATCTTGAATGTGAACAGAACAAAAGAGATGATTGTAAATTTCAGGAGAAACAGTGTTAGATCAAACCCTGTTTCCATCATGGGAGATGAAGTGGAGGTGGTTGAGGAATGTAAATCCCTCTGTGTTGACCTGGACAACAGACTGGACTGGAGACTCAACAGTGAAGCGGTCTACAAGAAAGGACAGAGCAGACTGTGCTTCTTGAGGAAGCTAAGATCCTTCAACATTTCCAGCAAGATGCTGCAGATCTTCTATAAAGCTTGAATTATA